GTTAGATCATCTCGTGATAGGCACACAAATTTCACAGGCTGTAGACGACTAACGTGGCCAGTCAGTGTCACTAAGGAAGAATAAACAGTAACCACCCATGTTTTGACATTCTTTAGATCGGCATGATATTCATTTTGTTTTATAGCCGTAAATACGATAATAGTGTTTATTATTAATAATATGATAATAGTATTTTGTCGATGAGCATACAGTCATAAAGTATGTTTATTTACAGGCCGCAGTAAAGGAGATCATTTCACGAGATAGCTTCTTCGTACCAGAGATCGAAGTGTTTAAAGCAGTACGTGAGTGGGCTCGAGTGAACCCGACGTTGGACCTTCAAGAAGTTCTGAGCGCAGTGAGATTGCCTCTGATCAGCTTGGAGAATTTGTTGAACTGCGTCAGGCCATCAGGCATCGTGTCAGCCGACGATATCCTTGATACGATTAAGACGCAGTCGGAAAAGATTGATTCGCAGCTGAAATATAGAGGATATTCAAGTAAGGCTCAAGTTTCTCTTCATAAGTGTAGTTTACAGTCTTGACGTCTTATAATATAATATATAGCTGTATTTAATGCAAGATTTGCTCTGTTGTGGTCAGATCTGTTTATCCAAAGCGTTGGCAGTAAACTGAATTATTGACCGACACACCTGTCTCCGAGAAGTTACAAAACGTGCGTACTTCCTGGGTCCAGCCTTCACGACACGTCGATCATCCATTAATTCTTGAAGATATTTTACAGTATACTTCGATTCAGATTTTGCGATCTCGTATCGTTCCATTTCTGACTGACAGGACTTTGATGCTTTGCAGATGATCGCTTATTTCACAGTTCTGTGGTACACTGGTCAACTCCACCGCTTCCTCTTTCTGCTCTGATTTGAAAGGAACACGCCTCTCACAGTCTCATCACAGCCCAGTTTCTAAACGACCGTCTCTAACAGCATTCAAACGCGATCTCCTCGTTGTGCCTGTGGCCATTTAAGCCTTACCACTCATCTTGAAAAGATGGGACAGAAT